CCAACAACTGTACATTAAAAAGATTACCCACCATGACCAGGTGGGATTTATCCCTGGGATGCAAGGGTGGTTCCACATTCACAAGTCAATCAATGTAATAGAACAAATCAATAAGAGAATAGAGAAGAATCACTTGGTCCTCTCAATTGATGCAGAAAAAGCATTTAACAAAATACAGCATCCGTTCCTGATTAAAACTCTTCAAAGCATAGGGATAGAGGGAACATTTCTCAACTTCCTAAAATCTATCTATGAAAAACCCACAGTGAATATTATTCCCAATGGGGAAAAGCTGGCAGCCTTCCCTTTGAGATCAGGAACACGACAAGGATGACTACTCCTGCCACTGCTGCTCAACATAGTACTAGAAGTCCCAGCCACAGCAATCAAACAACAAAAAGAAATAAAAGGTATTCAAATAGGCAAAGAAGAAGTCAAACTCTCTTCAAAGATGACATGATACTTTATATGGAAGCCCAAAAGACTCCACCCCCAAACTACTAGAACTCATACAGCAATTCAGTAGTGTGGCAGGATACAAAATCAATGTACAGAAATCGATTGCTTTCTTATACCCTAAAAATGAAATTATAGAAATGGAAATTAGAGAATCAATTCCATTTACTATAGCACCAAGAACCATAGATACCTTGGAATAAACCTAACCAAAGAGGTAAATGATCTGTACTCGAGGAACTACAGAACACTCATGAAAGAAACTGAAGAAGACACAAAAAGATGGAAAAGCATTCCATGCTCATGGATCGGAAGAATAAACATTGTTAAAATGTCTATACTGCCCAGAGCAATCTATACTTTCAATGCCATCCCGAACAAAATTCCATCAGCATTTTTCAAAGTACTGGAACAAACAATCCTGAAATTTGTATGGAACCAGAAAAGACCCCAGATTGCTAAGGAAATGTTGAAAAAGAAAAACAAAACTGGGGGCATCATGTTGCCTGATTTCAGGCTTTACTACAAAGCTGTGATCACCAAGACAGCATGGTACTGGCACAAAACAGACACACAGAGCAGTGAAACAGAGTAGAGAGTCCAGATATGGGCCTGCAACTCTATGCTAAAATAATCTTTGATAAAGCAGGAAAAGATATCTAGTTGAAAAAAAGGCATTCTCTTCAATAAATGGTGCTGGGAAAATTGGACAGCCATGTATAGAAGAATGAAACTCGACCATTCTCTTACACCATATACAAAGATAAGCTCGAAATGGATAAAAGACCTCAATGTGAGACAGGAATCTATTAAAATCCTAGAGAACACAGGCAGTAACCTCTTCGACATCGGTCACAGCAACTTCTTTCAAGACATGTCTCCAAAGGCAAAGGAAACAAAAGTGAAAATGAACTTTTGGGACTTCATCAAGATCAAAAGCTTCTGCACAGCAAAGGAAATAGTCAACAAAACAAAGAGGCAACCCACAGAATGGGAGAAGATATTTGCAAATGACACTGCAGTCAAAGGGCTGATATCTAAGATCTATAAAGAACTCCTCAAATTCAACACTCAAAAAACAGATAATCACATCAAAAAATGGGCAGAAGACATGAACAGACACTTCTCCAAAGAAGTCATACAAATGGCTAACAGACATATGAAAAAATGTTCATCATCATTAGCCATCAGGGAGATTCAAATCAAAACCACATTGAGACACCACCTTACACCAGTTAGGATGGCCAAAATTAACAAGACAAGAAACAACAAGTGTTGGAGAGGATGTGGAGAAAGGGGAACCCTCTTACACTGTTGGTGGGAAGGCAAGTTGGTGCAGCCACTTAGGAAAACAGTGTGAGATTCCTTAAGAAATTAAAAGTAGAGCTACCCTATGATCCTGCAATTGCACTACTGGGTATTTACTCCAAAGATACAGATGCAGTGAAAAGGGCCATCTGTACCCCAATGTTTATAGCAGCAATGGCCACAGTTGTCAAACTGTGGAAAGAGCCAAGATGCCCTTCAACAGACAAATGGATAAAGAAGATATGGTTCATATATACAATAGAATATTATGCCTCCATCAGAAAGGATGAACACCCAACTTTTGTATCAACATGGATGGGTCTAGAGAAGATTATGCTGAGTGAAGTAAGTCAAGCAGAGAGAGTCAATTATCATATGGTTTCACTTACTTGTGGAGAGTAAGGAATAACATGGAGGACATTAGAAGAAGGAAAGGAAAAGTGAATTGGGGGAAGTTGGAGGAGGAGACGAACCATGTGAGACTGTGGACTCTGAGAGACAAACTGAGGGTTTTGCAAGGGAAGGGGGTGGGGGGATGGGTGAGCCTGGTGGGAGGTATTGAGGAGGGCATATATTGCATGGAGCACTGGGTGTGATACATAAACAATGAATCTTGGAACACTGAAAAAATAAACTAAAATTAAATAAATAAGTAAATAAATAAAAATAGGTATTTGTAGGTATAAAAAATAAATAAATAAATCCATGAAAGGTATAAATAATATACTTCTCTAACACAATCTGCTTTTAAATATGCCTAAATGAAAAGATAATCTTCTGTATTGGCTTTCAACACCACAAATCAGATAAGGAAGTATATATAATACATTTGTTTTTCTCCTAGGCATAATGCATATAATTATGGCAGATTCAAAACAACTTGGGAGAATAACTTATAGTCAATAAGAATACAAATTTTATTACACTATCATCAGTTGGACTAGAAAAGAAACACAAATGCTTATGCTATCAAATACTTTTTCAAAGTGTAAAATCATAAATATAAAAATATAGATTACATTTACATTCAGAAATGTAAATTTATGTAAATAAATCAGAACTAAATTAAATGAATAACTAGCTCTTCCATTTCTTCAGTGATAAATATTAAGTTATTACTGGTGTGATACTTGTAGTTTCTTCATTTAAAAGACAATTTCTACTTCTGGGCCAGATTATTCATAAGTGAGGAAACAGTATTACAAAACCCTTTACATCCCCACTGCACATCATATCTTTCCAAGTTTCTAATTAAATTATTACTAAGACCAAAGTAGATTTATAGTTAGAAATATAAACCTACTTAACTAAATTCTCACCTGTTTTTTCACTCCACAAATCTTTGGAGTAAAGGATAAAAAGAACAGCAATACATACCATAATAAAAATAAATTAGCTCAGCACCACTGTTAAAAAGTGTCCTTTTCATCATATTAAGGTCTCCTTACTAAGGACCAAAAATACAGTATCTACACAAAACCTTGCTAACCTTTAATAAAGCTCTACTTAATTGTACTTAGATAAGCATTTTTTTTTTTTTAATAAAGTAGGAAATAGGCAAAGCTGCTGGAAGCATTTACTACTTTCTAACATGACTGCCTAACAATTTAGGCAACAAATGATACTGATAATCTAAAAATAATTCACTTTTGGCCAAAAAGGCACAGCTGATTTTCTTGGACTCTTGCAACAAAAGAAAAAACTATTTTTCTAATTACGATTTATCCACCAAAATAACCTCAGAGTCACAACACAAAGAATACTAGAGATCAAGGTTAAAAGTACCCAGAGGTAGAAAGCTGGAAGACTTGTTTTTTTTATTTCCACAAAAAGAATTTCAGATCTATTCTATATTTTCTTGCCAAATCTTTTGATCAAGATGTTATGTTGCTTTGATTCAAAAGATATGCATGCTCCAGTTGGAGATCAAATCAACTCAGTCTGGAAACTAAGTTAGTTTTTCCTAAGCCACTAGTAATTTACTATAGTGGGAGAGAATGTAAATGCATGATAGATCGTGATTTCTAACTCTAGATACTAAACTTGCACAGAAGTCCCATCAAGCACAGGGTTGGTCCAGTACTGTTCTTCACAATGCATGACACAGAGAGACCTGGCTTACATCCCAGTTCTACCACTTACTAGGGATATAATCTTCAACAAGGTTATTTAACAGCTCTATGCTTTGGCTTCCTCATTTGTAAAATGGAGATAATAGTGTTAAAGATTAGAGGCGCCTGGATGGCTCGGTGGGTTAAGTGTCTGACTCTTGATTTTGGCTGGGGTCATGACCTCAGGTTTGTGAGATGGAGCCCCACATTGGACTCTGCACTGGGCACAAAGCCTGCTTAAGATTCTCTCTCTCTCTCTCTCTCTCCCTCTGCTCTTCCCCCACCCTTCTTTCTCTCCCTTTCTCTCAAAAAAAAAAAAAAAAATAGTATTGAAGATTAAATACATATATTAAAAAGCACTGAACACAAATGTCTGATACGTAAGTATGATCTGAAATGTTGTGAGTAGATAATTAAAACAAATAACTGAGAGTTGAGAATACCATGAATATTACTTTTTGGTTTCTAAATAAAAATTTAATATTAGACTTTAAACTAATTCAAAGCTAAGAAAGGAACTCGGGTCCTTCATACTAGATTTATTTTTTAGACCTAGATTCCTCAAGGACTTATAAAGAATAAAGAGCTAAAATCAGATGATCCTGTTTTAAGTATCACCTTTAACACTTATCAGATTAGCCTGGGCAGATCTCTCTATGTTTGCTCACATTTTAATATAGGAAATAGGTAACATACCATCTGTCCATTCCAATAAGAATGAATAATGGTAGAGTCAAATAAGATGTGGCAATATTTAACATTCTTTGTATATAGAAGGGGCTAACGTTAACAAGGTACAACAGATTAATTAAAATTCAAGTTTTTCCCATCAAAACTACTGGCAAACATCACCCATCACAAGAACGTGCAGTTAATAAGGTATTCAGAAACTACAGGATTCTTTTTCATTAAGCTTACTCATTGCATGAATGATGAACAAATATAACCATTAGTAATATAAGGCAAAGTCACATATTTCTATTAATTTGTCAAAAATATTAAGAAAAACAGAGTAAAAAAACTGTTTTATTAGATATTCAATAATGGCACAGTCATTTTAACTGTCCTGAATTTTTGTAAATGTTAGAACAGATTTATTCATTAAAACGATAAAACTCAACTTACTTGTATCTGACAGTTTGTACAGTTTCTGCTGAAACATTGTTAACAATACATTTGGCTGCACATTCCAATCCCTGCCAGACAGTTGAAAATCCTGCAAATATATTTAGAAGTAAGTAAAACTACAGCAAAACAAATGGACCTTCCTAGTTAAATTTATGGTTCTTTGTTACCTTGAACACTACTTGCAGCTACAACCATAGCACCATCCAAGGTAGACTTCCCATTTCTGTCTTTTTTAAGAGATTCTGGAACAAGTTTGCTTCCATGCTTCTTGACGTGTGGAGCTAGTTCCTTCCCAACACAATTTGCTACAGTGCAAACTCCGTCAACTAATGAAACCATAAAAAAGGGGAAACACTTAGAAAAAATGTATTCTTTCCTTCATTTTACCACTTTTTAGCAAAATTCTTACATGAGCATCTAAAGTTGTTTTATTGCATAATTTAGCATTTCTATATAAGGATGAGAACCAAGGCTGGCCAGTTTTTAAACAAAGGTTATTATTTGGTTTAAAGATACGTTTGCAGAACCTAATGATAAAACTTTGCCTCTTAAACATAATGTTCTTTTTGGCAATTTGCTTAAAAAAAAAACCAAGACTGCTGCAATACAAGACTTGTAGGTCAATCTTTCATGTTTTCCAGCTATGTGTACTTCTGTTTTCTCCACATTGACAAATATTTCACTGAAATAGTAATAAAGTATTTAAGTCTATATAAAAGTAAACAAGCCAAAATCTGATTGGAAGAACACTGAATACCAAAAAGATAATCTTACTAAATCTAATGATAATTCATTAAGGAGTTATATGGCCATCTTAAAATACCAAACTTTAGATCTATGATTCTCAAGGAAGATGAAGAGACATATTACTTGGGAAGGCTGACATCAGAATCACCGAATCAGCTTAATTCAAACAATACATCCCTCCCACCCCACCCCAACTAAGACACAGTGAGTTGTCCTTAAAAGAACGTGTCATATTCAAGGATAGCAAATACATTCAGAGCCATTCCTTTTCAAAGGCATGGACACTCCTCTTTCTGACACATCAAAATAATTCTTTAACCAATGTTCCTCAAACTAATATGCAAATAACAATCACCTAGAGATCTTGTTTCTGAATCAGTAATGTGTACCAAGTATTTGAAATATTTCTAGGGCTCTCAGACAGGTTGATGTTGTTGCTATAGATCCCACTATGAGTAGCAAGACGATACTGCTTTGTCCTAATCCTTTACTCTTAAGGTTAAACCATCTAAATGAACATTTAGATTAACCTGAATTAAGAGATCATTTTTAATTTAACTGAAAGAAGTAAAGTCCTCCAAAGTTACTTTACCCAGGAACTGACTGACTTTTGCTGCTCCTCCTGTAGCCTGCTTTGCTATATAAAGTCCCTTGGTCACAGCAGGACTAACTTCCACTGGTTTTTCTTCTGGTTGAATCCGTTCACGGAGTTTAGAAGCACCTTTCTGGATTGCTTTGCCGGTAAATTCAGCACCTTTGACCAAACCCCAGCTCACCCAGGAAGCACCTTTTTATACGAAAATTAAGAAGTCCACAATATTAGAGCTGATTATACCTATAAACCCTTTAATAAATCAAAGGAAAAAACCCAAGGAATTCAATGTTCAGATCCTAAACACACCATAAACTTTTAAGCCAACTTTACAATTGTAATTTTCTGCCTGGAATACACTTTTTCTAAGTAAATTTATCTTTCAGTACTTAGGTCACAAAACACTCAGTAACATAGTTCTGTATTACTCTGCTGCTACTACAACTTGTAGGTTATCTCTCTATACGTTATTTATCACACTATTATTACTATTGTTAGGGACTAATTTTGGGTTTTGGTGCCAATAACACAGTATTTGGCTTGAGGACCCAGGCTTCCTTGTTCTTGCCTTAGTCCAGGTACCACTTTCCCTCTATGAAGTGCTGAGGGGTTTAGACACAAATGATGCAAATTAGAAACCAATAAACCTGCTAGATCTCGAACATCAAGGCAGAACTCTTGCTTGCTTGCTTTAGACAAAAGGCACAAGGCAGGGGTCCTGTTCCTCCCTCAATCCCAAACCCAAATCTGATGATCTCCACACCTTTTAATTTATAACATAAACCTGAATGACAAAGAGAGAAGAATACTCAATACATAAGAAGAAAACGGGAAGCCTAGATGGTTTAGCCATTTCTCATGAGAGTAGTTCCAGCCCTTTGGTTTTGCTCAATGTTTCTTAGAGCATACACGAAAAATGAGACTGTCAACAGAAAGCAGGATAGCATAGACTTCTCTAGTGAAAAGTCCCTGTGTACACTTGAGGAAAGAAGAAGTGGGAAGAGATGGAAAAAGCAAGGAAAAATCCCCAGGAGAATATTTTCCCCTAAGAGGAAGAAGAAGGTGTTACCTTGCCTTGGAGAGCTTACAATTTTAAATATTTCCTTTTTGGCTATACCCTGAAGAAAGCAGCTTTTAAAGCTAGACATATAAAATACCTAAGTATATTCTCCAAAGGTCTGTGGCATGGTTTTTATGTAATTACTCTGGCCTGTGAGTGAGTAGGCATGCAGTGACATGTGAAAAGCCTGTTTATTTAAAATATGAACAATGAAAAATAAAAATAAATAAAAAACAATGAAATAAAGTTGCCAAGTGGTAACTGATTAGAAAAACTGTTGTGTTTTTCTTCCTGTTTTAGTCAACATGTCCACCTCTAGCTCAAACACTACCCCGCTGTCCTCCCCTGCAGGAGGACCAGGTCTCAAACCCAGACAAGTATCTTCCAGCAAGGAATTCCCATAACAATGAAGGGACTGAAGACCTCTATTAAAAATATACATAAGGTGTTTGCAGTTAACTTACAGGTTGAAAAGATTTAAGAAGTAAAAAACTGGCTGAACTTGAAGAAGGAAGACTGAGAAATCATAAATGACAATGAAGCAAAGGAATGCTTAAGTAGACTATACTCCTACAATAAAATAAACAAGAGTCCATTGATGACTAAGAATAAATGGAAATTAGATAAGTGAAAAGTCATAAGATTCAGAAAGAGAAATACTAGATGCAAATTATAAAGAAGTTATCACCACGGAAGAGTGTATAATAGAGATAATACTTTAAAACCTAAGATATTACAATAGAAGATCAGGAAATGTAGTGTTTTACTGGTAGCTATTAAGATCTTTTAAATGGCGTGTGTAGATCCAGATACAGATTTATTCTATCCATATTCATCTTATATGCAACCATTTAATAGCATGCCATCCAGGCAATGGATGTATATTGAATAAATGAGAAATTGCCAGATGACTTAAAATGATCTCATTCAAATCTAACCCAATGTGGCTGGTGCTCTTATCAGTCTATTGTTGATGATCCCTCTACCTCTTCCCAAATGAGCTTATTAAAATGTCCATCTAAAATGTTTGGCAGTTGCCTTCTTAAAAGTGTAATTCTAGCCTTTCAAGCCAATATGCTACACAGGTAAACTTTAAGCAGTAACTTCATGTTTTTTCACTTTTTATATTCACAAAACACCGTACTGTAACTTTTACTGATCTTTACTGATCTTCAGACACTAGATAGGAACAAACCATGGGATAAACTGAATAAGCTCTTTAGATCCCTGATTACTTATCTTTGTATAGAGCCTGCATGAGTCAGGTAGAAACTGTCTCCGGACAGATCAGATCACTTTCCCTGGAGTAAATCTTGAATATTTTCTGCCACTTTTTTTTATTACCTGTACCTTAAGTATTTGATGAGCTAGTTGGTTTTCATTCTACCTATTAAAAAGCACATAAAGAGGTATGTACTCTGAGTGGCAGTTAAATAATTTTAACGTAACCAACTATTAGGGCTATTGCTAGAACTGAGGAGATAAGAAGAAAAGAAAAGAGTTACAAAAGCCTACTAAAGTCTCAAGTAGTAAAGCAGGCCCCTAAGTGTTATCAGAGTGTGATTTTTGCTCATTTTCAAATGATGCACTGCTCAGAGTTTTTCTGAAATCTCTAAAGAGATCTGTCCCCAGAATTAGCGGATTCTAAGGGTACTCTGCTCTTTGAATAGAACCAATACATGCAATCTGTGTGGTACTTAGGAGGCCTAAGACTTAGTGGCATAGAGGGGTGCCTGGGTGGCTCAGTCGTTAAGTGTCTGCTTTTGGCTCAAGTCATGATCCCAGAGTCCTAGGATCGAGCCCTGCATTGGGCTCCCTGCTCAACAAGAAGACTGCTTCTCCTCTCCCACTCTCCCGGCTTGTGTTCCTTCTCTCACTGTCTCTCTGTCAAATAAATAAATAAAATCTTAAAAAAAAAAAAAGACTTAGTGGCATACAATACTTTCCAAAGGTAGCCAAACAGTATCACTGTTCATGTTCTTTCAACATGACCTTGACATTCCTCCCATTGAGATGTGGGGTAGGTCTATGTCACATCCCCTTAAATCTGTTATCTTCTTGTAGTGAGAGATACTGGAAACTTCCAAGAATTTGTTAGAAAGGGTATGTGGCTTCTGCCTGTTTGCTATATCATTCAGCTTGGAACCCTGGGCTACCATGTAGAAGCCTGACTAGCTTAAGGTTGCTAAGCTGTCAAACACATGGAGACCATGTCTAGGTACTCTATTTGGCAGTCCTAGATTTTGAGCTCTTTTAACCCAGAAGCCAGATTTGTGAATGAAGGAGACTTCAGATGATTCCAGCCCCCAGCTGCTGAGTCACTAGTCAGTCTTTGGGTCTTCCTAGCTGAGGTCCTGCCATCATGAAGCAGATGTAAGCCATCCCTGTTGTGAACTTTTGGAATACCTGGCCCACAGTACCACAAACAAATGTTTGTTGTTTCATGCCATTAAGTTTGGGATGGTTTGTCACACAGCAATAATAAATAGAACTATCTTGAGCAGTATGAATTAAAAAACCTTAAGAAAATAACCTTTGAAATTAGTTATCTATGTATACGTGAATATAGGCAAATTTTCTGAATGCTGACTTAATAGCCTAGCAATCTGTAAAGATATGGGACAGGATAGTAAGAGTGAAGATTTTTCTTTAGAACACCTTTGAAAATCTTTATCAAGGCTCAATTTTAACTGTTAAAATTGTAACTGAAAAATCTGTCTTTGTCTTATCTCTAGCAGCTCTCTGACATGGGCAAAATATTATGTTAGTTCCTAGTTAATTAATTTTCACTTATTTTAGTTTGTTGGTTTTTCATGTTGAAGGTTTCCTCTGCTTTAGACATCTTTATTATTTTAATGGGTTTTTAGTGCTGTGATGGAAATCTATATTGACAGTCGTTTAAATGACTGGTCAAGATCTCTTTACAGGGTCACAAATTTGGCTTACTAAAGAGTGACTGGCAATGTTTTTAAAAACAAAATAGAAGGTCTAAAAATCTGAAAGCTAAAACAGTTGAAAAGCCAAAATGTTAACAAATGAACATGGAAAGACATATGTCAGTAATGATCATTCTGGCTTTTTTTTTTTTTTAAGATTTTATTTATTTATTTGACAGACAGAGATCATAAGTAGGCAGAGAGGCAGGCAGAGAGAGAGGAAGGGAAGCAGGCTCCCTGGTGAGAGGACAGTCAGATGTGGGGCTCGATCCCAGGACCCTGGGATCATGACCCAAGCCGAGGGCAGAGGCTTCAACCCGCTGAGCCATCCAGGTGCCCCGATCATTCTGGTTTTAAAATAATTGATCTGATACCCTTTCTAACCAGAATTAAATAGTACAGCCTACATCCCAAACAACTTAGCTATAATCCTCAGGTCTCTTCATACCTCCATTGCAGTGTGGTTAGGGAATGCTACTTTGCTTCCAAAGACGGGATGAGTATCTCACCATTTTTTTTAGACGAAGAGGAATTTCGAAGAAGAATGGAAAATAACTAATTTTATGTTCAGAAGAGCTATCCTGAGAGTTTGGGGATTCCCAAAGATTTTGACTACCAATTTTCCCTAGAGTGAAATAGAAAATAGTCAAGAATTTCTACCTATGTGATAATATGTAATGTTCTAAAAGACTAGTTCCTTCTGTTTTAAAGTATTTATAAAAGGTTCATTTAGAACCAAAATACAAAATACTGTCTTTCTAAGTATTCTCTTATGGATTCCAAAGGTTTCACACTATAGGGGAAAAAAATTAACATTACTGTAATACCTGACAAAATATTTTGAGCCACTTTTTCACTCCATTCAGGTAATTCCTTTGCTTTTTCTTCTGAAACTGGCTCATAGGGTACAATGTGACTCAGATTAACTTCTTCACTTGAAGTGTCTTTAGCCTAGTAAAAATGTTTCAAATGTAAAACAATAAAGAAAAATTATAATGGGAAAATATTATAAGCATTATGTAATGAAATATTAAGCCAACAAATATTAGATATAATTAATAAAAATACCTCCAGCCAACACAGTTACCAGTATATTTTATAACAGAAAGCAAAATGCCACAACTGCCATAAAGCTTAAAAATTTCCTGGTCTTATATAAGGTCTCCCTGGAAAGTAAGGTTTAAATACCAACATACTTCCAATATAGCATTTATCAAATCATATTTAAACTGATGAGACTATGAGTTCCTTCAAAACTTATCAACCCCTTGATGGTAGTATGTACACGATACTCAGTAAGATTTAAAAGATTTGTTATATGACTCAATCAGTAAGGAAGGATGTATCCAAATAAACTGGTTTTGATAGAAATCAAGTAAAAGCAAGTAAAATAAACACTGCTATTCCATCTAAATGGAAATAGGGACACAGATATACCTGCATTTTGCTAATTTAACAGTTGTTATGAGAACTAGGGCCAACACTTAAGCTAAATTTATTCATTCTAAGAAATTAACAGCAGGCTAACTCGGACCTCGTAATACTATAAAATTTCTTGAAAATCAAACTTCCCAATGGAAATATGAAGAGAACTTCACTTAAAATATAAAACATTAAAAACGAAACGAAAACTTCTATGGGGGAAGGGGAAGCCATTCCTAATTAAAACCCAAAGACAGGGGCGCCTGGGTGGCTCAGTGGGTTAAAGCCTCTGCTTTCGGCTCAGGTCATGATCCCAGGGTCCTGGGATCGAGCCCCCGCATCGGGCTCTCTGCTCAGCAGGGAGCCTGCTTTCCTTCCTCTCTCTCTGCCTGCCTCTCTGCCTACTTGTGATTTCTGTCTGTCAAATAAATTAAAAAAAAAAAAAAACAAACCCCAAAGACAAAATGAACATAATATTAGGAACTTCTATCTTAAATAATGAGCCAAAGTCCTAATACATAGAGAGCCCCTGGAAATCAGGAAGAAAGACTAGCAACCCAGTAATAAAAAATGGACAAATGACAAGAACAGACATCCCACAGGACACAAAATTCAAAGAACCCCTAAGCAGATACACAACAGCACTCACAATAAAATCAATGCAAATTAAGATATTCCAATACACAATTTCTTATCTATCAGACTGCCAAAATACAGAGGCTGATCACCCACTCTGTGGACTAAGCTATGAAGAAACAGGTTTCCTATAATGCCGGTGGGAGTGCTAAAGAGTATAGTCCTTAGGGAGGGCAACTTAGCAAAATCTATCAAAATTACAAATGTATTTATTTACTGACTCAGTGACCCCACTTCTAAGAATGTATCTGATGAATTACCTGCAAATGTATGAATCAATGGATCTACAAAGCTACTCACTGAAGCGGTTTCTAATAGCAAATGCCTACAATCATCCAAAGACTCAATAAATAGATTGGTTAGAGAAAACTATCATAAATCCATACAATGAAATATGAGGTAGCTATAAAAAAGACTGAGAGGGTTCTCCATTTATAACACTGAAAGAGCCTCAGAATTTATTCAAATTAAAAAAAATAAAATACAAGATATTCTATGATGTTACTTTTGGCATAAGAAAGGGAGAGAAATCTGTTTTTATTTGCTTTTACCTGCCTCAAGAAACCTAGGGGAGAAACACAAGATCTTGATAAAAAGTGATTACCTACTATGGCAGGGACAATGGTATGGACAAAGGTGGGAGTAGAGTTTTTCAATGTATATACCTATTTATATAATTTGATTTTTTAAGTTAACAAATTAAATTCCTTAAAAATGGAAGTTTTAAATGATGTGAAAAATTTCCAAACATACTAAGTAAAAAGAAAGGAGCAAAACAGTATGTCTTCCATGCTTCCATTCGTATTCTTATGTGAATGTGTGCATATACACGTATATTCACATACAAAATAAATGTGTATGCATATATGTTTGAATGTATCTGCAAGGATAAGAAGCTAGCAATAATATATCTAGAGCAAGGAGGTAGGTGGCTAAGGAATAGATAGGAATGGGAGGTAGAATTACTTTTCACTAAGTATCATTTGTATTTGCTTTTTATGCAAATTAATTTTTTAAAAAAATTTTTAATAAAATATTTCTTGGCACCATCTTGGACTCCCAGTGTCCTCCACAAAGCTAATCTAAGATGTTCAACATAATCCACAAATAAATGTAGAATATTCAAGGGGTACTTGGGTGGCTCAGTTAGTTAAGTGTCTGCCTTCAGCTCAGGTTATGATCCCAGGGTCCTGGGGTCTAGCCCCATGTTAGGCTCCCTGCTGGGCAGGAGTCCGCTTCTCCTTCTCCCTCTGCCCCCATCTTGCTTGTGCTCTCTCCCTCTCTCAAATAAATACAATTTTTTAAAAAAATTTAAAAGTGCAGACTATTCAAGTGGTATGATAATTCTAAGATAATTATTGAGCACTTAGTTATGGAATAAAACAATGAACAATACAAAACTGTTTGTAATTCAATACTCACGCAATGGTATTTTCTTTCTTCATGCATTTGCTTGTTACTACTTATGCCTAGAATCTCCTTCAAACTGCTATGTGTATGACCAAATTTTGCTTCATCTTTCAGGAGTCATCTTAGTCACAATGCCTTCTCAGAAGTCTTCCTTACTGCTTCCCACACCACTATAGGCTCATACTTATTGATGAAGCTAGGTTGTACATTAGATGGTGCAATCTAGCCTACTACATAACCTATGTACCTTCATCTAATGATCACACTGGCTAGAAATGCTCTTTACTAATCTGTCCTCCCCAATAGACAAGAAATTTCTTGAGATAAGAAATTTAACTTTTCCAGAATGCTCAGCATTCTAGCACTAAAAAAAACTTACTGAACTTACTGCCACTTGGAACATATCCTATATAAGAAATGAAAAACTACTAAACATATTTTTTAAAGACTTATTTACTTATAAGAAAGTAAATGCTCAAGTGGGGGGTGGAAGGGCTGATGGAGAGGGAGAAAGAGTCTCAAGCAGACTGTGCTGAGCATAAAACTGGACGTGGAGCTCAATCCCAGGACCCCAAGATCTAGACCTGAGTCAAAACCAAAAGTCAAATGTTCAAGTGACTGTGCCAAGGCGTTCCACTACTAAACATATTTTTAAAAAATTCATTCTCTTTCCTGATCACCATCCATAAAGAAACAAGGGACTGAATAAAAATGGTGGTGTAAGGAAAAGCATACCTAACCCCAAGATTCTGGTGTATTAAGGAAGGTAGAGAACAACACAAAAGATAAAAGATATGCATTAATGTAAATACAAAAATTTCTCAAATACTTCAAAAAAATCTATCCCCCAAAACACAGAATATGTTTTAAAACAGTGTAAGTAACAATATTAAACAATAAACAATATTAAATAAACAATATTAAACAATAAAAATATTAAAGCTGATTCTAATTATATTTGCCAGTGATCATTTTGTGAATTTGGAAGTTGCTCTGCTTTAGTAAACAGGGATAAGACTTTATAAATAATTGAAACTGGTAAAGGTACCATTAGAATAGGACACACACACATACCACCTTATTGCTTTTTTACTTACTTTACTTACTTTTTTCCCCCTTTTTCCTTTATGACGCACATCCTTATTGTCTTGGTCCAACTGTCTTACATCAGTGCCACTGGCTTCCTTCAGTTGGTCAGAGGAGCATCTAGCTCTTCCAGGGATTTGGAATTCATTTTCTCCTTCTGCCCGGTTCCAGTTTGCCTAGGAGGTAGACTAAACCTTAGATCAAATTTGAATTTTCTCTGAATTATGTTATAATAATGTACTTGTCCAAACACTGATGTGTTTGACAGTCTATAAATACAACCACTTTTGCCAGTCTTTCCTCTATACTTTTGTTTTATCTCATCACCAAACCTCAATCCCTTGAGTTCTTTAGTTCATAGCATATGGGCTAAACCAAATTTCTAAAGACAAAGCATAAAAGATAAACTTAGAGAAGTTGTTAGTATAAGTTATCACTAAGTCAGATGTAGCTACATTTGAATTTAATTAAATAACAAATGGTAAGTTTTAGGAAACGTGTAAAACTAAATGCCATCAAAGGCAATGAACAAAACTCATGTCCAGTTTAACCACTCTGCATTGTTGGAAGACTGATTTTGTTTTCTGTTTTTGCACTTAATACTGAAGGTATTTTGCTCACATATACTTTGCTGAATAAATACTTAAGAGTAAAGACAAGTCAAAATTATACAGTTGGGAGTTCTGGGACAACACAGCAAACTAAAAATGATGCACAACCAAAAAGTAAACATATAAAAGTAAGATAGGTCCAATGAATGTAGGGGTGAAGGGAGAAACTGTTCCATGATAGGTCTGAAATAAGAATGTCATTTCATTCACCCAGAAAACAGCAAAGCTAAGACTTGAACTCTTCCCATTTGACCACATTTTTGCCTTTGTCAACTAGTCTCCATGAGCACACTGAGGCTACACACATTTCTGTAAGGGTACCACATGTTTTGTTACCATAGTTTAAGTGTATAGCATTGGCTATGCTAAAGTGTATGTTGATCACCAGATCATTCTCATAATATGGTCCATACACCTAACGCTAGAGAGGACTCTGATCTTATGCTTAGTGAGTAGTCTGTTCTTGTCACCTGTGATCTTTTCATGATAGATGTAGAATGAAAGTGTATTCTACTTCCTAAGAAAACAGGAACGGAAGTTTTAAGACTGAACCCAAAGGCAAATATTTTGTGAAATATTCCCTGATCTCCTTCCTGAACTTTTATTTCATTACCTATCATCATCCTGCACTGTGACTATTTTAGCAGACTGTAAGTGCCTGAGAACAGGAGCTATTAAATGGTATCTTTAAAGTCAGTCTCTTGTTCTGTCTTCCCATCCATCATTTAACATATTATCTAGTTAAAGAAGAGATTTTAAATATACATTGACTGAAGTGGTGAATAAAAGAGTATACTATCATGCTGTCAATCTCCTTCATCTTCAGAATCAAAAATATTTTCCCCCTATTGTCCTACATCAGGATGGGGAAGAATACCTGAGAACACCTCTCCTTAATACTCTGTATTTTAACTCCTTATGACAGATCAATACATGGGGAGAAAAAATAAATAAAAGCTTAATTAGGCAAGTTCATAGGATGACAGACCATATTTTAAATTGCACTTTATTTTCTCCTTATTTAGTTTTATTTATCACAAGAACAAAGACGATTCCCTCAAGTAAAACCTGTTTCTTCCTCAAAATGACAATCATATCCCTAAAATGTCCAACATAACCTATCTGCTAATGTCAAAATTACCTTCACTTCACCATTCAGTCCCATTAGGCTATTTTTCCAATTGAACAGGAAGACTGTAGTGATAACAAGAGTTAACATTCACAGAACATTATTACTTGTCAGCACTGATATGAGACAGTTAATGTATTAAACTTTAAACTTTACCACAACCCAATAAAGTAGATATTATTCCCATTTTATGATAGAGAAACTAAAAAAACAGTAAAACAGCTATTAATGCAAGAGTTCAAGTTCAAATCCAGGTAAACTGACCCTAAAGCCCAAGATCTTTATCACTATTTATGGCCAATTTCTAACTAGTATTTGTGAACACACGAGCAAATTATATATTCTCATTTTTCTAATTTTGATCATATAACATCCTATTATAATTTCTTTAAAAGTGAGTGCTTACATTAAAGTAGATTTCATTCTAACGATGATCACACAAGTTACCTGAAGCCGAAGGTCAGACATCTGTCTTAATAAATCCTCAAAAAGTTCTCTATCATCCTCTGGTAATTCAGAAGACAAGACAACCCCCACAAAGCATCCTGACGCTTGTAACATGGTATCAGGAAACATGTAAGCTCCCACAGTACATTTAAGAACTGGAGATCTATCAGGAACTAGAGGATACAACCAGTCACAAACCTGAAAGGATTAATTAGAAAAAAAAAAAATCAATGAATAAAACTAGGTTTTCACTGGTTTGAGAATTGTTATACCATAGAACATTTCAAAATTCTAAATGCATTTTACAAGGCTTTACAGAATCATTAGCATCAACAAATCCCCACTAAAAATTAGCCATTTGCTGGTCTGATCTTTGTGTAGATCACTCACAAGAACTATCCTAAAAATGTTGCTCTACTATAGTCTTCAAATTAGTGGCCTTAAATAGCCCACAGATAACCAATAATAAGTTTAGTTTAAAATAAATAACAAAGTAAATTAAGACTTTCTTTATAATTCAAATTAGACATGCTTTTGTGGAAATAAAATCAAACCATTTTCAAGTACATATATTTACTGATTTAATGCTTGCAATTCCATGAAGTTAGATATTGTCATTTTATGTACAAGAAAATTGAGGCACAGAGAGTTTAATTAAGTTGCTCTGAGTCTGTGAAAAAAGTGGAGACAATATTTAGACACAAGCAATCTGGCACCAGAGAAGCCAAACAATTCCTTTAATTAGAACCCAGCATTCACAGGGGCATCTGGGTGGCTCAGTTGGCTAAACATTTGACTTATTCTGGCTCAGGTCACAATCTCGGGGTCATGAGATAACACGGAGTCTGCTTTGAGATTCTCTCTCTCCTCTCCCTCTGCCTCTCACCCCACAGTATGCTCTCTTAATAACAGAATCTAAAACAAAAAACAAAAAAAGAAACCCAGCATTCACAATGCTGCTTAATTTTTTTTTTTTTTACTAAGTCTGAGAACCTGACGTGACATAGCTAGAACAGAACATTAAGTTCTATCAAAATATTGTTAAAAGAGTCAAAAAGGACGAAAGATTTCATATAACAAAAATGGAAAATTCTGGTACACTGCCATCATCTCTGACCAACAAAATATAAACCTAAAAGGATTAGAGTATCCAAGTCTGATTCTTTCTTGGAAAATCCTTAATAAACCTTTTTAAATTCTTCTTTTATAGATTCTCTTTTTCAGTCACCTCAAACGTCACTCTTCATCTTTTACAAGTCAAGCTTTAGAGAAGTCATAATAAAACTGATTACTGTGTCTTCCAAAGTATGATGTATTGCCATAAGTGGTATACGAAATGACTTTAAGTAATATACCAAATTATTTAAATTTGAATAGTAATGTATTTCAATATATTAAGAAAAAATACATCTATCCCTCAACTTCCCAGCTGTTATTTTGGTTGGGATGATAAAATTAACAAATGAGACATTTATCTATTTATCTATGTATCTCTTTATCTATTTATTTAAGAGAAGGGAGGTAGAGCAGAGGAAGAGGGAGAATCTTAACCATGAGACCACGATCTGAGCGGAAGTCAAGAACTGGACACTTAACTGACTGAGCCACCAAGGAACACCAACAAATGAGACATTTAAACTGAAATATTAAGAAAGTAATAATAGCGGAGATATGAAACTGACAAAAAAAAAGTTGCAAAGGTTGTACTTAAAAGAACTAAAATTTGATAAAGTTTCCTTTATTGTTATGATTTCTCTACATTCTGGACACCTTGATTTAACTGGGGTATCCAAATCTTCCAAACCGAAACTTTATAGACCTGTCTCATGGTAGATCATTACAGGTTGGAGGGCTTATCCACCACAGGCTGATTTCTCCCAGATTTGCTTTCAGAGAAAAACCTTATGTTTAAGTTCTAATGAAATGACTACAAATTTAATAGGTTTAAAAAGTATATTAAACTAAAACCTAAAGAAATATAGTTTTTAGAAACCCTGGAATTCTATGCCTGCCTACTTAAGACCAAATTAATGTCTAATTTCACAAACAGACCTACAGTGGTTTCTGCAGTATAAGAAGTTATATTTTAAAAAATTATATTTAACTTCTAATACTCAGTTGATTTAGTGTTTGTTTCTTAGAACAGAGACATTCAGTGAACACATGTTAACTGCCTTTAGGTCACTGTTAGAAATATCTGAATACATGGAAATAAGAGCCTCTTCAAGAGACTCAAATTAAACTTTGGGTGCAATTTATTTATTATTTACAACCAAAAATAGGAGATACTAGAAAGATTAAAAGCACTTTATTTAAAGCACTCAAACAGGACAAATTTTTACTAGAGAACAAATCATTTTAATGGTTGAGCTCATGTAACCAAGTAGAGTGTTTCTGATACTCATTTTCCATCATCTCCAGTAGCCTGGGCCCCAAAGGTTTTTTATTTTTTATTGTACTTTATTTTATGTATGTATGTACGTATGTATTATGAATGTGTGTACATTGGGGGGGGAGAGGGAGGAGAGAGAGAATTTTTTTTTTTTTTAAGATTTTATTTATTCAGTTGAGAGAGAGAGAAGCACAAGCAGGAGGGGAAGGACAGAGAGAGAGGGAGAAGCAGACTCCCTGCAGAGCAGGGAGCCAGACATGGGGCTCAATCCCAGGACCCTGAGATCATGACCCGAGCCAAAGGCAGATACTCAACCAACTGAGCTATCCAGGTATGCCAGGAGAGAAGACAATCTTAAGCAGGCTCCATGCCCTGCTTGGGATGTGGAGCTCTGCTCCATAACACAACCCTGAGATCATGACCTGCTCTGAAACCAAGAGTCTAACACTTAACTGACTGAACCATCCAGGCACTCGCTCACCTCCCCAACCAAAGGTTTTAAATTCCAGTATTACAACACAGCTCTACTACCAGGTCAGCAGAAAGTATTACAGCTTTAATCAGCCTCCTCACAATCCCAATCAATAATGTCTACCCTTTCTACCTCAAAGATTCTTTCCTAAAATAACCTACAGAGATATAAAATATTCTTCCTATCCAATAATGAAGTCTTTTTTTTTTCACCAACGCCCCCAATAACTCCTTCAAACACACCTAGTAAGTCTCCAATTATTTTAAACAACTTTCAAGTTGATTCCATGTAAAAGCTGCATTAAGAACTGAAAGTGGAGTATACCAAAAAAGACAAAATCAATCTAGGTTACTACTGCTGTAACTAAACCAACTGCATCATCTGGACTGTGAACAAAAAGACTTGCTTTGCTCAATCATCTTCTTTACATGCATGCAAAATTCTTTGTTATACCCAGTGTAAAGGAGTCCTCATTTCTAGAACCCAACTCTCTGTACTGATGTCCAATTTTTTAAAAACAGATTGTTATTCCAACATCACCTTCAAAATACTGCCTTTAGAATATTTCATTAATTGCACAGCAGTGCCCTAACAACACCAGCTGTTATTCAGCAACAGTTTTTACTCTTCAACCAAGGGCATGCCAATAAATTTATCTGCTTGGAATGTTAGAAATGCATCTTAAATTATCATCACAATCTCTACTTCTATACCAAAGTTTCTTAACCTCTGCATGATTAACATTTTGGGTTAATTTTGACTGATGAAAATGATCCTGTTTTGAGGTTTAGCAGTCCCCCCTGGCCTCTATCTACTATATACCAGTAGCAGTAGTACAACCCACCTCCCAGCTGTGACAACCAAAAATGTCTCCAGACATTGTCAAAATGTCCTTGGGTGGGAGGGTGGGTGGGTGGGGGGATCATTCCTGGTTGAGGACCACTGTTCTACATACCGGGCTGGGTCTAGCCCAGATCAACCCCTCAGGTGGGGCTTGACAACATTTGTGGCAGTTTACATTAACACATCCACGAGTTACATAAATCACTTTTGGAATTGAAGTTGTTAGGTTTCTTCTTCAATAAAGAATTAAAATTTTAAGGATGAATGCTCCGATGCCCCTTAGGTCTTGTCATCACAATTTTAATACTAAAACACAATTCTGAAAAAACAATAACAAAATTTTGTATCTTTAAAAAAAGAAACTATTAAACACATAGACACTTAAGGCTCATAAATTTCACAGAATATATTAATAAAGAACTAGAATGATCTTTTTGCACTTATTGTCATGAACACATAATAAATACTGGCAAACAATAATAACGTATATATACATATTTCAAATTATGTTTACATTTTTCTTTGGCTTACCTGAAGAAACCCAGGAGGACGGTTTAGAACAGTATCAAGAGAATTATCCAAGAACCTCACAATTCGAAGGTACCCTGGATATGAAGGTGCACTAACTTCCCCTGCAGGATTTACAAAAAAAATCTGTACTCCATTTGGTATCAAAATCAGCTCATCTGCATCTAGCCCTAAGGTCTCAAGAGGAGGTGGCTGAGAATGATTCCTATAAAAGTCTTCTCCAACTGATGAAAATTCCCCAGATTCTGTTCCATAGGATACAGTGTAGTGACCCTCAGCAGCTTGAGGAGTATAAGCAGGAGGTGCTTCTGCTGGATGACTTTGAGATGGTAAGGATAAAGAACTAGGTGCAGCAACCAACCCTGTACTTGCTGTTGAAGTGTTTCCATTTGCTTCAGTGTGCTGAGGAGGTGAACTAAAGGACTGAGGCTCTGGTGACTTTTCAGATATGTCTTTAGGTGGAAATTCTGGATATAACTTGGGCACCTCCTGAAGATCATTCCGTAGAGAAGTGGCAAGACCCTTCTCCAGAATTTCCAACCTGGTACGTACATTCTGCAGTGTTTCTTTCATTTTCTGTTGCATCTGTCTAGCAGATTCCCACCCAGCACCTATGTGTTCAGGCTCTGTCAATGAAACGCTGATTCCTCTGAGCAGGTGTCCTATTCCTTGCTTATAGTAGTTCTTTGCTTCTTCCTTCTGACCTAATTCGTCTGTATTCAGTCCCTTATTAACAAATAAAAAGGCCTTCTTGTATGCTTCCCTGATGATCTTAATTTCAGTAGGTTCTCCATTTTGCGGCTCTTGCTCCATTTCTGTCAAAGAGAAAATATTATTTTAATTATCTAATTTAACTATTTGTTTACTGAATTATCATCAATTTCTCCTACCTAAACATATTTCAAGAAGAGAGGAATTCCTAAATTCCTAAATTCCCTTGTTCCTAAATCCTTTAATTAAAAATAGGAGAGAATAAATTAGAATATATCTACTGAATAATTTTCTTGTTACAGTTTCATGTAATAAATGTTTCCTACCATGTACCTAATGTTGGAACCAAAGAGCCTCATTTTAAAATTCATTATAATATAAATCCAGATTATATCCAGCTAATTAAGAATGAGGTTGAGGGGCGCCTGGGTGGTTCTCTCAGTTAATCATCTGACTCTTGGTTTCAGTTCAGGTCATGATCTCAGAGTCGTGAGATTGAGCCCTGAGTCAGGCTCTGTGCTGAGCAAGGAGTCTGCTTTGGATTCTCTCTTCCTCTGCTCCTCCTGCTCATGCCCACACTCTCTCTCAAACATAAATAAATAAATAAATAAATAAACAAATCCTTTTAAAAAAAAATGAGGGGGCACCTGGGTGGCTCAGTGGGTTAAAGCCTCTGCCTTTGGTTTGGGTCATGATCCCAGGGTGCTGGGATGGAGCCCCACATCTGGCTATCTGCTCAGTGGGGAGCCTGCTCCCCACAACCCGCCTGCCTCTCTGCTTACTTGTGATCTCTGTCATAAAAATAAATAAAATCTTTAAAAAAAGAAATGAGGTTGAATTACACACTGGAGAGGATAGAAATGAGAAAAAATTATTTGGATGGAAGTTTAAAGTTACCTACTTCCACTTAAAGGTGCCAGGTTACTCACATGCAGTTAGCCCTGTTCTCTCCCAAAACTCCATTAAAATAACTCTAACAGATTAAAATACGTAACTTCTCATTCTTGTTAATGAGAAAAAAAATGGACAGGTACTTCACAAAAGAAGACCTTTAAATGGCACGTGAAAAGATGTTCAACACCTGATCTTGTGTATACCTACATATCAAAGCTTATGTTGCATAGTATGCTGAAAGACTTCCTGAAATAATGTGTCACTGGAGAAAATGAAAAGGAAAGTGTGGGGGGGTGGGGGAGTGGTGATGATGGTGTAATTCCATGGGTCAGTTGCTAAATAGCATTTCTTGCTAGCATCTTCATCTTGGGAGAGAAAAAAAAGTTTAGCAGGGGAAAAAAACCTGGAAATCTATCAGGGAAAATGTAGTGGGGAATTTCAGCACAGAAAGTAAAAGTTTGTACTAAAATACTGCATTTTTAATTTGGGATTTATTCCAGGATTTTATATATTTTCAGAAGTCTCTGAGAAAATGCATTTCACAAGGGTAAGAACTGCAGAATAGAACTTAAAAGAATAAAAAAAGATTTTTAAAAATAATACCTGTGATATACCTAATCACAGTTAAGAGCTTATCAAGTGGCTTGAAAAGACAAAAACCGTTATTACATAATTCCACATACTTTTTTATTTTTAAAATTTCTTTTAAAGATTCAAGGGCACCTGAGTCTCTCAGTTAAGGGTCTGCCTTCAGCCCAGGTCATGATCATGGGGTCCTGGGATCCAGTTGCCTCAGGCTCTCTGCTTAGCAGGGAGCTTGCTTCTCCCCCAGCCTCTCTCCCAACTTGTGCTCTTTCTCAAATAACTAAAGTCTTTAAAAAAGAAGAAAAAATAAAGATTGATTTATTTATTTAAGGTGAGGAGGGGCATAGGAGAGGACAGGGAGTCTTAAGCCAACTCCGGTGGTGAGTGTGGAGCAGGAGGCGGGGCACTTTCTCACCACCTGAGCAGAAACCCCCCTGAGATCACCACCTGAGCCGAAACCAACAGTCAGCAGGTTAAAGGACTGTACTACCCAGGCGCCCCTCACATACTTTCATTTTTAAAGTTGAGAATGGAAAGTTTTGAAATGTCAATCTGTAGAGTTAAATAAAACAGTACCCACACCAGTATAATCATGTTAAATCCCAACCCAAACCCTGGTTCCAGATACAAATAGCGCATTTATTTTTTGAAACGTTCTAATAAAAGAAGTAAAACGTGTTTGTTTCAGACATAGCTATGTGTGGGTGTGCATATGTGTAAGCTTAAAAAAAAAAAATCCCCGGAGAAAAGACAAAATTCTGAATCAAACACCTGACAACTTAGTTCAACCCCACAAACCCTAAAAGCAGTAACAAGCTAGGGGCAACATCACAAATAGCCTCTAATACAGAAAATGCTCTAATGCCTGCCTACCTGGCCCTTTACAAGAAAAACGAAGATGGAACTTTTTCAAATACCTGTATGCAACTCACTCCAATAGCTTCCCTTCCATTCTTGTCAGAGGAACTACACAAATGACGTTTCAGAAAGCCCCACAGGTGAGAAAGTACCAACATAAAACCCTCCTGTTTCGAACAGGTTTCCTATAAAATGTCTCCAGATGGGATCCGTTATTGCAAAGGAAAGCAATTGAAAAAGAGCTCCGTTTGTAACTGGGGACATTGTTACATTCCCTCTTTCTTGGTTTTGCTTTTGGACATTTCAAAGAAAACGTGTTGAATTCTTAAATATTTACCAGTATTTCAGAAGCTGCAAGAATTTGAACGCAAATCCATTAAGTTACAGTGCAATAAAGTAAATTTCGAGGATCCTTAAGTGACAGAGTAAAACAATTCATTAGTGGGTGGAAAAATGAGCCAACTCTACGGTAACGCAATAATGCCGTGTCACGAAACAGTGCACATTTAAAGAGAAACTTTTTCCAGACATAGAAATTAGGTCGGAGAGGGCCTCTGCGATGCTCCATCCCTAAGGAACATGAACAAATGCATTCGAAAGAGCAAAACCCGAACGCTATCCATGCCCAAAACAATTGCTTTTGGTTGCTGACGTTCTGTAAAAACCACCGAACTTTCACGAAGCTGTAAGGGCGCAAAACCACAGCCATTTTCGAAGCCAAGTAAACTGCGCGTATGAGGCAGCAAGAATGGTGGAGATGTTCCAAGTGCACGATCAAAGGGGTGCGAGTGGGAGGCAGCGTTAGCCAGTAAACAGGAGTGAAGGGCGTAGGGAGCGCGGGGCTCAAAGGTCCCATAAATATATGATGGGAGCTAAGAGAACTTCGCAAAGTATCCTCTCGAAATTGTTTCCTTCAACTAAAGTTCCATGTCTGATACTCGGATGAGGGCTCCGGGCCTTCTCTACCCTGCCCCTCCCCCCGCCCGGTCCGGCCGCGGGGACCTGGGCGCTCACGCGACCCCGCCCGTCTCGGGGTGGGGGGCCCGCACCAAGGGCGAATCCTTCCCCGCCAACCGCTGCCCCACCTGCGCCTTCCAGACCTCGGGCGCTTCGGCGCCACCTGAAGGTTCCCCGCCCGGCTGCCGCAGCCCAGCGACCAGCTCCCTCAGACGCCGCGCCACTACGAAGCGCTGGGCCGGGACCGGTCCCGTGGTTCTTAGCGCCTCACACGCGCGCGCGACCCAACGCCGGGACTCACAAAGCATAACAAGTCGCGCGCTCCAGAGCGCGCCACGTCACGCGGCCGCCCCGCCCGTCAGCCCTCGCTCCCGCGGCAAGAACCCACAGGTCGGCTTTCGCGTGACGCCCACTGCGGCTGATTACCCACGGCCCGTCCAGCCCAAGTCATTCCCATGCTGACCTTCAAAATGGTGTGTAGGGAGACGTCACTCAGCTTCCAATCGCAGAGTCTAGGTGAAACTCTGCCAAGAGAAAAGGACGAGGGCAGAAGGCCCTCAGAATCACGTGAACCAGGCGCTCAGCGCGGACACCCAGTCCAGGTCTTCGCGGCCACGTCGTCAGCCCCCGCGCTTGCGCAATATCTTTCTCCGCAGCGGAACCAAGGCCGCTGGAGGGGCTAGGAAAGAGTGGTGGGCAGTGAGAGCCGTCACGACTAGAGGGAGCCCTGGACACAGTGCACGTGGGAGAACAAAGGCTGATTCTCTCAACTCTTCTGGAACCTAATCTTTGTTATTAATGTATTCTAAGACAGTTAACCTCCAATGGTAAAAGTCTAGAAGTGTGTGTGCGTGCGCACTAAAAGTCTATGTAACAGTAGGTCAATGTTAAATTCCTGACTCCTCAGATTAAATAGCAACTGTATGAATACCATTTATGAATGTGAGAGGCTAAAAAGGGAAAAAAATCAAAATGAACATACCTTACCTTTTCCCAAAACGTCTTTAAAATTACTAAAATGCTATAGATGACATTAATTAATGTCAAAATTAATTAATGATGAACACTGTTGGATGAACACTGGGCAAGGCTTTTAAGGTAGGGGCCATTTGGGAATTTCCCCAAATCGAAGAAAGGTAACAGTCATCCCAGAGAGAAAAACCTGTTAGAAAGATATACGTTAGTACAATGGTTTAAATGATTTTGCTCTTCTACTCCCTAAAAGAATTCTGGAAAATGTGACTGTGCACCTTTCCCCTCATTTTTAGATTGACCATACATAAAAATTTTCATCTGATGTAAATAGTTGCAAAAGATGCAAATTGTTTTATGGTAAATTGACATTTTAAAATAAAATTGTTATATAACCCTTCTAAATTGTAGACAGTGGTACCTAAATACCAGGCAACTTGATATCCTTCATCAATTTTTAAAACTACATGAACAAAATTGTCTTTAATATGAAATTTTACATCATTCCTTTTATTCCTGAACCTGTATTTCCATAGTTCTTCATGAAATTTTATCCCAATACAGTATTTCTTTATTCGGGAAAGTCTTTTCTTGATCACCTATCACACTTCTCTGCATCATTAGTACATAAACTTAAGTCTAATTTTAAAATATTGAAATAGCCATAAAAGTTAAAGTGTTTAAAAACGTGAAATTTCTAAATACAAAGTCATATATAGAAAACCCTAAAATTTACTACAAAGCTACTAACTACATCAAAGTTTCAGGATAAAAGATCAACATACAAAAATCAATAGTATTTCTAAACACTAGCAATGAACGTTCCAAAAATGAAATTAAGAATGTCACTGAGAATACTATCAAGAACAAAATACTTGGGAATAAATTTAACAAAATAAGTGCAAGACTTGTACACCCAAAACTACAAAACTTTGCTGAGAGGGTTTTTTGAAGACCTGAATGAATGGACAGACATTCCACACTTGCAGACAAATTTAATATTGTTATAATGGCAATATTCCCTAAATTGATCTACAGATGGAACATAATCCCTAAGAAAATCCCAGACAACTATTTTGAAGAAATTGGCAAGCTAATCCTAAACTCACATGGAAATGCAAGGGAGTCAGAATAGCCAAAACAATCTTGAAAAATAAAACAAAGGTGAAAGGACTGACATTTCCTTGGTTTTGTTTGCCTTTTTCAAGTTTTTATTTGAATTTCCGTTACTTAACAGTCTCATATTAGTTTTAAGTGTAGAATTTAGTGATTGATCACTTATATACAACACCCAGGGCTCATCACTACAAGTGCCCTCCGTTAACCATTATCCATTTAATCCATCCCCCTGCCTACCTCTCTGCTCCAGGAACCCTTGGTTTGTTCCCTATAGTTGAGTCTGTTTCCTGGTTTGCCTCTCTCTTTTTTTCATAGGTTCATCTGTTTTGTTTCTTAAATTCCACATATGAGTGATATATAGTATTTGTCTTTCTCTGCCTGATTTATTTTGCTTAGCATAATGCTCTCTGGTTCTATCCACGTCATTCCAAATGGCACCATTTCACTCTTTCTGATGGCTGTGTAATATTCATATACATCTGGGTTCTTTCCATAATTTAGCTATTGTTGATAATGCTGCCATAAACATCAGGGTACATCTCTGCCTTCGAATCAGTACTTTTTTATCTTTGGGGTAAATACCTAGTAATGCAATTGCTGGATGGTTGAGTAGTTCTATATTTAACTTTTTGGGGAACCTCCATACTGTTCTCTGGAGTGGCTGCTCCCATTTGCATACCTACCAACAGTCCAAGAGGGTTCCTCTTTTTCTGCATCCTTGCCTATGTCTGTTGTTTCCTGAGCTGTTAATTTTAGCCATTCTGACTGAAGTGAGGTGATATCTCATTGTGGTTTTAATTTGTATTTCCCTGATGATGAGTGATGTTGAGCATATTTTCATTTGTCTGTTAGCTATCTATATGTCTTCTTTGGAATAATGTCTATGTCATCTGCCCATTTTTTAATCTGGATTATTTGGTTTTTTTTGGGTGTTCAGTTTTATAAGTTCTTTATATATTTTGGATACTAACCCTTTATCAGATATGTTACTTGCAAATATCTTCTCCCATTCTCTAGGTTACCTTTTAGTTCTGTTGCTTGTTTCCTTCACTGTGCAGAAGCTTTTTATTTTGAGGAAGTCCCTATAGTTTATTTTTGCTTTTGTTTCCTTGGTCTTGGGAGACATACCTAGTAAGAATTTGCTATGGCCAGGGTAAAAGAGGTTATTGGCTGTGTTCTTCTCTAGGATTTAGATGGTTTCCTATCTCACATTCAGGTCTTTCATTCATTTTGAATTTATTTTTATATATGGTATGTAAGAAAGTAGTTCAGTTTCATTCTTTTGCATATTGTTGTCCAGTTTTCCAAATGGTGTCCAACACCATTTGTTGAAGACACTCTTTCCTGTTGGCTATTCTTTCCTGCTTTGTTGAAGATTACTTGACCATATAATTGTGGGTCCATTTCTGGATTTTGCGTTTTGTTGCATTGATCTATGTGTCTGTTTTTGTGCCACTACCATACTATCTTCATCATGATAGCTTTTTATATAACTCAAAGTCCAGAATTGTGATGCTTCCAGCTTTGCTTTTCTTTTTCAAGTTTGCTTTGGCTATTCTGGGTCTTTTGTGGTTCCATACAAATTTTAGGATTGTTTGTTCTAGCTCTGTGAAAAATGCTGGTAGTATTTTGATAAGAATTACATAAAATGTGTATTGTTTTGGGTAGTATAGACATTTTTACAATATTTGTTCTTCCAGCCCATAAGCATAGAATGTTTTTCCATTTCTTTGTGTCATCTTCAATTACTTTTATCAGCATTCTATAGTTTCAGAGTACAGATCTTTTACGTTTTTGGTTAGGTTTATTCCTAAGTATCTTACTGTTTCTGGTGCTTTTGTAAATGGGACTGATTCCTTTATTTCTCTTTCTGCTGCGTCATTATTGCTGTATAGAAATGCAGTGGATTTCTGTACATTGATTTCTGTATCCTGCAACCTTACTGAATACGTGTGTCAGTTCTAACAATTGTTTGGTGGAGTATTTGAGTTTTCTATATAGAGTACCATGTCATCTGCAAGCAGTGAAAGTTTTACTATTTCCTTGCCAGTCTGGATACCTTTTATTTCTTTTTGTTGTCTGATTGCCAAGTCTAGGACTTCCAGTACTATCTTAAATAACAGTGGTGAGAGTGCACATCATGGCTTATTCCTGACTGTAGAGGAAAAGCTCAGTGTTTCCTCATGAAGATTATATTATCTGTGGATTTTTCGTGTATGGCCTTTAGGATGTTGAAGTATGTTCCCTCTTTCCCTACTTTGTTGAGGGTTTTTGTCATGAATTGATATTGTATTTTGTCAAATGCTTTTTCTACCTCTATTGAAAGGATCATATGGCTCTTCTCTGTTCTTTTATTAATGTGGTGTATCACATTGATGGATTTGTGAATATTGAACCACCCGTGCAGCCCAGGAATAAATCCCACTTGATTGAAGTGAATGATTCTTTTAATGTACTGTCGGATTTGATTTGCTAGTATTTTGTTGAGAATTTTTGTATCTATGTTCATCAGGGATATTGACCTGTAGTTCTCTTTTTTTAGTGGAGTTTTTATCTGTTTTTGGAATCAGGGTAATGCTGGCTTCACAGAACAAGTTTGGAAGTTTTCTTTCTATTTCTGTTTCTTGGAACAGAAGGTATTAACTCTTCTTTAACTGTTTGGTAGAATTCCCCTGTGAAACCATCTGGACTGGACTTTTATTTGTTGGGGGATTTTTGATTACTGATTCAGTTTCTTTGCTGGCTATTGGTCTGTTCTAGTTTTCTATTAAGATCTTGGTAGTTATGTATATTATGTATTTCTAGGAATTTGTCCATTTCTTTTAGATTGTCTGATTTGTTGGCATATAATTTTTCATAATTTTCTCTTTGTACTTTTATGGTGTTATTTCTCCCCTCTCACTTGTGATTTTATTTATTTGGGTCCTTTTTTTTTTTTCTTTTTGATAAGTCTGGCTAGGGGATTATCAATTTCATTAATTTTTCCAAAGAACCATCTCCTACTTTCATTGATCTGTTCTGTTTATGTTTTCTGCTCGCTTTCTTTCTTTCTTTCTTCTTTTTTAGTTTGGATATCATTTATTTCTGCTCTAATCTATATTAATTCCTTTA